TCCTAAAGCTGCATCAAGGGTGTTTCAAAAGGCAAAACTTTTACTCTGAAGGTGAATGGTCTCCATTTCTGGTTTGTGTTGCACTTTTACAAGTTTCACTACTGCTTGTTGAGTAGTTGACAAGCTTTGCGGACAAAATAGCGTCTTCTACGCAAGAGGTACTTTTTTGGTACCTTGGCTGAGGTTCCAAGTGAGCCGAGTCATGAGAACGACTTCTTCTCAAAACTCAAACTGCCATTTTCAAAACCTAGCAACGAGGGAAATGGCTGCACAAAAACCAACACCGTGGTCTCTGAGTCTGACAAAAAGCCACAGAAAGCGCAGCAGGTATACCACTGCCACGACGTCATGGGACTTTTGGTCACATTGCTACAATGACCCCAAGCACATTAAGGTGGTACTCAGTTGTAATGGAATAAGACCAAAACCAAGCCGAGTAGAGTAAAATCTGAGTAGGTACTAGTGGAAAACAGGCATTTGACTGGTCCACATACCGTATATAAGACAAAGAGTCTGTTGTCTAAATTTGTTCCTGTTATTTCTGGCTGATTATGAGCAAAAATGTGTTTCATGCTTGAGTAAATTAAACCTCACATTGGAAAAACAAACTGGTTGAGATTAGATTTTTATGACCCATGTGGTTTTTCTTTGAGGGAAGACCAAAACCCTGCAAGGGGTGGAGGGATGGCAGGAAATTAAATCTCATCTCACTGTCTTGAGTCCCCAAACCTTCCAGCCACTGTGATTATTTCACTGGGCAAACGATGCTTGTAGAGCCCCTTAATATTAGCAGGTTACGCCATTTGCTCAGTTATTCCCAGAAAGGCGGTCGTGCATCTGAACTCTGTGCAGACTACAGTTTTTTTTTTTTATTTTTTATCTGACTTCTGTTTAGTGTTGACTGTTTATTGTTCTTTTTTTTTTTTCTTCCTCTCCACTCTCTCCAGCCATAACTGGTTGTGCCAGGTTGACTGCCCACCCTGAGTTTGTTTTTTTTCCCTTCACCACTATCACCAAAGTCTTGCCCATTAAGGAATTCTTAGCTACACTATATATACTCTGGGTTTTTCCAGCAAATCTTGACTTTCCCCCAAAGAGTTTTTGACCTTCCCCCAAGGAAAAATCTTCAGCATTGTAATAAAAATATTTTGTTAGCAGTTAATTTAAGTGGGTTTTTATTATTAAAATCCATATTTTTGGACCCAAATTACAGGAAAATGCATAGATTTATAATAAGTATGTTAACAAAGACACTTTGTAAACCTACAAAGGCCCATTTTGAGCTGGGAAAAGCTCTCAAAAACTAATGGACAAAAGCACTGTTAAGCTTCCTGCCTTTTGATTTCTTTATTAAAGAAATAGGTTTAAATTAAATACTTTTAAAACTATATTTTTATTAGTGTTCTACCACATTTGGTTTCATCATATTTTTCCTTGACTACAAGCACTGTTTCTCATTTAAAAAATAAAAAATAAAATAGTGATATAGTGATCGACTCCATGCCTTCAGCATTAGGGTTGAGGATGTTAACAAGGAAAGCTGCCACTACTACTCATGCTATAACCATCACACAGTCTTATTCCTCGCTACTCTGCTGTTATTCAGTGAATAGCTGTGAATTAGCACCAGATGCAATGTTTTATTTTCATTTGGCTAATGGACTTTCTGTTCAGCTGATAGATTCGGTGAGATTTCCCTCAGTACTTGTTAGCCTGAACCCTCGAGTTAATCTGTGGCGATATTATCCCACCAGTCACTGCATCAGCAGTAATCCCAGCACACTCGCCTAATCACAGATATTTATTAAGCTAATGCACGACCGAAGGTAAACAGAAGCGCAATGCTATTATTAGGTAATAGCTGCCAACCGCGCATTTAATGTTCAGCTGCAGCTTTAATGGTGACACCCAGTGGAAACTACTTTTTGATTAATCAAGTGGTTTTAAAATAGCGTAGCTCATGCTGGATAATGTGTGTGGGGATATGCTCATTAAGCATTCTCAGGACACTCGTACAACCACAACAGTCTTCACAGTGACAACTATTTGTTGTGCGCTTTGTCTGGTGCCCACTCCAATGTTTTCACAGAATTCTTGGGGTTATATCACCAGCTGCAGATGGTGGCCTCGCTATAGTTTCATGGATCATGGGTGTCTCTTAAGTGAATCTGCATGTGTTGTGCAGCGATGCTCATCATTCATCATGAACTCAAGACGAGAGGAAACACACAGAAGTGTGTTGGTTACTATTGTAGAGATGCAAATTTCTCCCCACCTTCTTTTTTCTTGGTATGTATGTGTGCTTTTTGTTTTTCTTTTGTGAGTGTGTGTGTGTGTGCACGCGCGCGTGTGTTTGTGGAGGGTGTCGTTAGTTTAACGACATTTCCTTAACTGCCCCAGTGGCTTACAGGGACCATAGGACTTTGATACTGAAGAGAAATTAGTGCTGCTGGGTTAAAAAAATAGCAACAATGCACTCTTTGTCTTTGGAGGCATATTCTTGGTTTGATAATGATGTAACTCACTGATAATTTTGTAGGATTGCAGTTATGACTGTCATTGTAATATCCTGCTGCTCATTCTGCAGTAGCCTGTATCGTCGTCAAGTGAGTCTGCTTGACTATCGCACTTTGTTTGAAATTGTTTCACGGCTGACATTACAGGTCCTTTAACCACCTCGTGGTTTTGGATGCCTTGGGACAGTAGACTAATTTGATTTGTACTATTTCATTAAACAGGAAGGAATGAGTTGCGATGATTTTTTTTCATACTTTATTTAATACTGCAAATATAAACACTGAGGTCCCAGTGGCTTTAGTATTTTAATTATTACCAGAGATACAACTGATTGGTATCTTGTTTCTTTTTATCAGTTACCAAGCTCAGGCTCAGTTTATGTGCAGATCTAAAGTTTCAAAAGCAAAAAAAAAAAAGTTGGAGTTTTAAAAATAAAATCTATATTCCTTTTCTTTCAAGTGTTAGTTTTGTGTAAGTGACTGGCATTTTTGCTTAAAATATAAAGAAAATTACAAAAAGAATAGATCGTCTTTCTTCTCATAAAAGAACTGCGTGTTAGTCTAATTGATGGTGAATGGCTGTCTGTCTTTCAGTGATAGATTGGCGACCTGCCCAGGGCGTACCCCGGTCGTTGTCCCGTGGCAGCTGGGATAGCTTAAAGTTTATAGGTCTCTAAATGTCTCTTTGCTTTATCAAGTTTGCCAACATTTGAGAAACATTATACCCAGTTGAATATTTGTGACCTAGTAAATTTGTGCAGTCTGCAACAATTTGTCATTGTAGTTATTGCATTTTTACATTGTACATATGAGGCATTCAGCTGACACTTGTCTCCTAAAGTGACTAGTCAGAACTTTAGAAGTCATTTTTGTCATGTACCGGAGGCAGAAAGAGAGAGCTGAGACTAAATCTCTTTTTGTAGTGAGAGTTGACTTGAGGGCAGCCTAAGATTGTAGTTTCTTTGAACTATTAAACTTATTTGATCATAATATATTTATTTTCCTGTTAATTTGAAAATCTAAACAGCTGAGGTACCTCTTTCTATCAAAATAGGCCATGCTCAGTCGTACCCTGAAGCAGTAAAGTCCAACCAGGAAACACTAATTTTATTTAATCTAATAGTTTTGGTGTATTATTGTTTAACTCAAGGTTGGCCACGAAGTTCACTATTGATAAGATGTTTCTTTTAATATAAGCCTTGACTCCATTAAATAAATCATATTGGCGTTGGTGATGTTTTTGTCTTTGTTGTTGTTTTTTTAAAAGGTGTACTACAGCATCACATCATTGTGTAAGAGAGTGTGCGCACATGCGTGTGACTTCAACAGGAAACTATGTGTGTGACTTAGCTAATCCAAGATGCCCTAATAGCTGCTGGACAAGCTGTCCTTAGTAAGGAGGAAGAAATAGAGTAAGACATAAAAACACAGTAAGTGGGAGAAAGCAGCGTGACTCATGTTACTGTCTCCACTTCTTCCGTCTTATCTTACGTGCGGCTTTGAAGCTCTGAGCTAGGCGGTACATTCACCCTTGAAGAGGATTAAATCTTCTCAGTTTATATCTTATTTGTTTGTTCTGATTGGGTTAGCATGTGAGTGTCAGGCTTTCAATGGCTTTCTTATTTTTGTCTTTATTTTGATTAAATGAGAGGAGAAGGGAATAAGTATTTTCTGACTTAACTATACCTCAAGATTTTTTTTTTATGGTTTTAATGTTCATTGTTAGTTTTGATTTAAGCTTATTTCTTCAAGTTATTTTCTCTCATACATAAAAACACAACTTTTTTTCATTTTTCCTTAAAATTGTTAGTTGAAAACATGTTGTTTTAATGACAATTTAAAAAGAAATGCATACGATACCTTTAGTTAGAAAGCCATTCAAAGTTTTTATTCATTTTATTGTTTCAAAGGTTACTAATACAGAAAAAGTAAGTAATAAGAAGAGCGTTTCTCTATACATACACTTTAATTAGGTGGCACAATCAGGAATATTTAGGTATGCCACATTATATTTGGTGAGAAAGTCTACCACCTCTGCGGGCAGGTCCCTGTAATGGTGGTCCCAGAAATTGTTTGGCTGCCTCTCCAGAAAGACTTAAGTCTAACTCCACCACCTTGGACTATAGCTGCTAGTTGCTGCCACATACTTTGTTAAGCTGCAGTCCAAGAGAGTGGACAGAGTACATTTTCAGGAAAAAAAACTCACTAATGAGACAACTGAGATTATGATTATATTACTCCATTTAAAGGTTATAAAGTATTTTGCAGAGATGATCCTTATTGACATTGTTATTTAATAATTAATTTCAATCTTTGGGGAAAAATGGAAAAACTTCACAGGTGATAACTTAGTTAGATGTTATACATACTGGAACATTAGAACATCGTGGCACCCGAGGTGTATATATAATAAGTACAATAGCAGAGTTATTCACACTGAAATTAAATGTATATTTAATATATTCTCTTTTTTTTTTTTCAAAGGTCTACTGATGAAGACATGGTAATAAATATTTTTCTTTTGGGGTGAACAGCCTGGTGGATAGTAAGAGGCATCATGGCAGATCTGCCTATTGCCCCGGGCCAGATCTACATCGAGGTAGAATACGACTATGAGTATAAGTTTAAAGACCGGCTCATTAAGATCCAGCAGGGGGAATGCTACATGCTAGTCAAGAAAAGTAATGAGGATTGGTGGCAGGTCAAAAAAGAGGAGTCGTCTAAAGCTTTTTATGTACCTGCTCAATATGTCCGAGAAGTCCGCAAAGCCCTCATGCCACCCCCTAAACCAATCCTCCATCTTCCGAGTGCTACTGGTAATCCATCTTCACAAAGTGCAGGTGCACGCTGGGTAAAACCAAACAATCTGGATCTGGGACTCAACAATCATCCCGCTGAGAACCTTCACAGAAATGAGTCCAACTATCAGCGCTCCCCTTCAGCACAAACTGGAAACACGGCTAAATTCACTCCCCCGATTCAGCGCAGGGACAATAACCACCATCATGCCCCCACCTTTCCCACTGACCATGACAAAGCTCTCGCTGAAGCTCTCCATGGTGGTGTCCCACCACCCCCTTACAAAGGTGGGTCCAGCACCCTGCCCCGCAGTCGAGCCAGATCCCCAGAACTGGTCAGAGCGCCACTGGACGTGGACACCACCCAGTACTGTGACTCTGCGGGTGAAGATAGACGTACAAATGACTCTGAGTCTGGAGACGAACTGAGCAGCTCTTCCACTGAACATCTCCAGGTAACATCAAAGCTTTTTGTGTGTGTGTGTGTGTGTTACTGTTAATGTTGGCGGTGATGTATACAAGAATTTTGGGGGGGACATTGTGGAATAGGACTTTTGTTTCACTTTTATTAAATTATAGCCAATACTCACATATTTGATATATCAGATCCAGAGCAACTTTTGTTTCTTGTTCCTTGATTATGGCCTTAGAACGAATGTAGCAACTATTTTTGTTATTTTAGGTGTTTGTGAAACTTTTCACATCAAGTGTTTAATATATGCAGACTATTTCTGAGCAGATGCTATTAGGTTTGCTAGTATATCAATTATCCTACTTTCTTCATAAAGTGTTATGAAGAACTTGAAAAGGGAACCTGAACCTGCCACACCCTGCTACAGAGCAGTATCTGAGCCCTCGTTTATACTCTGTTGTGGACATAGACACGGGCAGCTGGCGACATAATGGCTAAGTAGGCATTCCTGTTATTTTCCACTTCAAGCACAAAAACAAAGCAACGTGTATTGGTGCACTGCAGTGCAACGTCACATGATAACAAAAAACTGGCTGGCACTTGGACGTTGTCACAGACCTTCTTGGTCACTGTCCAAAGTGTGATGAATTTACATCACTCTGACCCGAGTGGACTTGTGGTCGCAGAAAGTTTAAATGCCTAAATGATTCATATGCAGCACAGAGATTCGGTTTTCAGATAAAAAATCAGACCAGTATTCTGTTAAACAGAAATGGGTCATAAAGCGTTTTAGTTTTAAACTGTTGGTATGCCCAAATGACTAACATTAATTTGTTCAGTGCCAGCTGATTTTTGCCTCTAAACTTTATTTTGGATAACCTAATAATCTTTACCTGTCCTGGATTACTTAAACTTGTTCAAAACCTTTAATGTGTTCTGATAGCTTCAAAAATTAAAGACAAAACCAAGTCCCAAAAGAAAATTTTGCCCTCTTTTTTTTTTGCCTTTTATGTGTCTAACATTTTCCAAAGCCACAGTTTGATTACTACAAGATAAACATTTCCTACACTTTATGTCATTTGTTAGCAGAGGCTAGAAGGTTGACTGTTAGTTTGGTTAAAAAACAACTTTTTTCAGTTAATCTCAGAGAATCAAGGGTAAAAAACTATTCTCATACTGCCTTATATTACACTAGCCACTACATCCAAAGCGGAAACTCATAGTATTTTCTTTTTTTTGCCGCACACACACCTTTATGCTGAACGTGCACTGCAGGTATATCCAGTTAAAAGACACACATCTCCTGTTCCATGAACAGAGTTCAGCTGAACTTCTTTTCCTGTTCTTATTTTCCATTTGTAAGTTGTTATTTGCACTATACATACACAAAAGTCAGCTCCTTCATTAGCACCATCATTACAGGTACAATAAAAACACTGAAAGAAACTCACATGTTTCGGCTTGAACCCGTGAGCAACACATTTGATCGTGTATTGAGTAATAAAGACACTGTCTTTACCTTCCCTGTGATAATAAAATGACAATTGTAGGATTTTTTTGTCATTGACACGTCACGTCTTCTAAATGACTTATTTGTTTTACAACAGGTCATCTAGTTAATCTGTCAACTGTAGTTTCATAGGTTTGGATCTCAGTATGATGCATCACGCACTGACGTAAGCATTGTTTCAGTATGTTGTGCGTAAAAAGGTTATCTGAAGGAAAGTCCTTTTTTACAAGTCCATGTATTTTCTGAATGCAGCCCAGTTCTCAATAGATCTCCTTCCTTGGTTATTGTGTCTGTGTGTATTTAAATGGAAGGACAAAGGTCAAAGCAGTCAAGCTTGTTTTTGGTTATGTATACAACCAGTCTGGCTTTGTGTGCCAGTAAACTCTGTGATTTTCTCTTTCTTAGGGCAAATACAACAACTCAGTCTCAGTGATTTTCACAACATTGGCCGTCTTGCTATGTACTTTATGCTGCAATTGACAGTCTCATAGCAGTTGGTGATGGCAGGGAGAAAGAACTTCCTTTTCATAGAAAAACATTCCCAGTAGAAGCAGGCTCAGGGTGGCTTTTTGCTCGTTGTGAGAATCAAGATTAAAAAGTGTATCCACTGTTGTGCAAACTGCATCAGCATCATTCCTGAAATATCTTCCTTATGAGAACAGACCTTTGCACAACAGAAACTGACACTCGAGGAGGAAATTGTATCGTGTATGTTGTGACCATAACAGCAGTGGCAGCTTTATAGGTGACGACATGATGAATGTCTCCTGAGAACTTTCCACCACTGTGGTAGCGATCAGACCCCCCTGACTCATCATGTGCTCCCCTGTTAAGCTCTGAAGACACACGCAAATGCAAAAGCGATATTTCCAAAATATGTAGGGCAAGAGAAGTGGCCTGAGGCATCCTGCTACTGGAAGGAAAAGATGTGATCTGGTGTTCTTCACTTACTGCCGCTGCTTGATAAGGATGTGTTATCTCTGAAAATCTGGATTCGCTCTGTGGTGTAGTGTCTTCCTGTGATTGTAGGCTTTTCATAATGGACCAGAACCAGTGTCATCAATGTGATCTATCAACCCATAACATAGTAATGATTCAGTGATTGACTATTCTTCAGGCCTGCAAAGCTCATGAAAGCCAGAAGGTGGACGCTTCCTACATAAATCCGGTGATGTGAAACTCATCCAGTGTTAGTGGGTTTGTTTTGTTTGTTTTTTCCTCAGTCCTGGCAGCAGGGTGCTAGTGACACAAACTCTAGGTTGAGTTAGGACTTCCTAAAACAAGCAGAGCCCTCATGTTGTTGCTTGTAAACAGTGGCATTGCCATAATCAAAACTGGCCTAAATCAGCAGGTATAGGAGGAAGAGAAGAAGTCAAAACCTGAATTAAAGTCATTTTCCAGGAGGTGAGGAGGTTTTCAGAACTGTTATCTTTCTCTGTATAATTTGACTCTCTGATCTTCTGCACTGATATACCATTACAGTTACAGTAAAAACCAACACGATCACATACTCGTATCTTGAACCTGGCAGTGCCGCGGCAGCATAAAAGTAAGGTTACAAAAATCAAGAGGTGCATGACTGACCGCAATGACACCAAAGTATGGCTTGCGCCTGCAGGTGTGTCGTGTCGTTCACTCATTGATGAAGAGTGTACTGGGCCCATTCGCCGTTTTGCTTCCCTGCAGCCTTTAATTTAAAGTATAAAGAAAGAAGTAATGGATATAAAGCCAAAGCCGCAGTCTGAATGCAGGAAGGAGTGCTGTGTGTTTGTGTCCTGCTGCCAGGTCCTGTTTCTTATTCCCAGTTCATCCAGCTTTTGACAAGCTACTTGAGTAGGCTGTAGTTAGTGTGCCAAACACTTATCTGCTGTACTCGACCTGACACCAAGGCCCACTTTGTCACTACTTTTGTCACATGTCCTCCTTTAAACTACTGGCAGTATTTCATCATTACTTCATCTGTTCATCATTATCTCAGACAGCAGGGACGTTTTTTTTAATGAAGTTTGGGAATGTTGTCTGTCCAAAATAGTACAGATGTATTCAGAGATGCATTCATCTGCAAGAAGAAGAGTTTACTCCTCTAGCTGTCACTTGAGCGTTTGCTCCAAGACTAGTGAATCACAACGGCATTTTGCAAGCTTGAGAAATTCAGTAGTGAGAAAGAAATCCAGGCAAATTTTCTATGACATAAATGTGTGATGTTGTGCAAAAGCAATTTGCCTTGGCTGTGCAGACCTTTGTTGCAATAGCTTATTAGCTGTGTTGCACCATCCAATTTTAATTAAACATCTCTCTAAAGTGCTTTACAGTAAAGGCATGCTTTGTTGGGGGAGAGATGAAGTTACATATATGCCTTTTATGTGTCTAACATTTTCCAAAGCCACAGTTTGATTACTGCAAGATAAACATTTCCTACACTTTATGTCATTTGTTAGCAGAGGCTAGAAGGTTGACTGTTAGTTTGGTTAAAAAATAACTTTTTTTCAGTTAATCTCAGAGAATCAAGGGTAAAGAACTATTCTCATACTGCCTTATATTACACTAGCCACTGCATCCAAAGTGGAAACTCATAGTTGAAAGGTGACGTACTGCAATACTATTAGAGCAGTAACAGAAACAATGCAGGTATGTTTGCAAAACATCGCTGACCTGTCACTGCATTAGTATTCCATTCCTTCTCGCAGTTTCCAGCTGAGATATCACTCGGTACTTCCATGCATACAGTTAAAACCTCTAGCAACACTGGATTGGTCATTGTATTCGCTGAAGGAGATGCTTCCCTCCTGCCACTGAATATAATGGCTGTCAGATCTTGCTGTATTTTTAATTTGCTGCTTTACTGCACTCTCACCCGTTGCCTTTCATCATCCACCTTCCGTCGGGATCTTGATCGTCGGTCAGCATGTGGGGGAAAAACTGAAGCACATGCTATATGTCTACTATATTAAAAGCATTTTTTAGTCCAGCCTGGTCACCCTGACATCTTCTCTAGTGAAAAGACAGTGAGGGGTGTTAATTTGTATCCTTGTAGCAGCTCAAGTAGATAAGAGTGACTACTAGAGCTCCTTGATTATGGCAGAACTCATTTTTCCAGTTATTTTGCTGAATATTGAAGTCATGATTATTTAATATGATTGCAGAGTTTGAAAACCTTTTTTTTAAATTTACTGAATGGGTTTCCAGGAATTTATAATGCTTCAAACTCAAATTAAATAAATGTGTACAGCACTAAGAGTGAAGTAAAACAAACGGCGGCAAAATAGAATGCCATCGAATCGTAGTTTCATCTCGATAATATTGTTTCAGCGATCAGTGAAATCCAAAATTGTAACTGATAATAAAATTAAGTTAATCGCACACCACCCATGAAGCAGTTTTGTAATGCAGGAAAAGGGATGTGCTGAAAGTCAAAATGTTGTTTTGTGTCAGTGGACATCAAGTGTGTGTGGTATAGACTGTGACGCATTGACACATTGTGGTTAAACATTGCAGCTCAGTTATTGCCTGTGTTATTATTAGCTATTGTGTTA